TGGCAGCCGCTCTTCGCTAGGTTAGTCAGGAGGGCAGCCGTGGCCAGGCAGAGCTGGGGAGGCTGCGCCTGCCTTGTCTTTGCTGGGAGAGTCTCTTGCATGCCAGCCATCGCACTGCAGAACTGCTCCTTATCCTTCTGCTCCTTGCCATGCGATGACCTCTCTACTCCCACTCGCCGGGTTTGCTGCCGCCATCTGCTTTCTCCATGTGGGCTGCTCTGTTGCCGGGGAGGTGCTGTGGCTATCGGCTTCTGATGCCAAACTCATATTGCAAATAATGGCCTTGAACTCTGGTTCTGCCAACACAGCTGAAATGTTGTGGGCTGGGAACGGCTTGATAGAGCTGCTTGGGTCAACATCCAAGGTGTGATACAGCCTGCTCGGAACAGGGATGAGGCAGCACTGGGGTGGAAAGTTTTCTCTGCTAGCTCCTGGGTTTAAACTCACAAGATCAATAGCAGTGAAGCCCTGTTGTTGATATGAAATGAGAGCCATAGATCCACTGCTGTGAGTCTCCTCTCACTGGGGATGTCCTTGGGGGACCATTGGAAGGGATTGTCCCTTTGCAGCCGGGGCAAATCTGCACTGGTGCAGATGTATCAGCTGGGTACCTGGCCAGTGTCGCAGGAACACCATGATTTAAGGCATTAACATGGGTGTAATAAAAAAAAGTGTAATTTTACTTGGCTGGCTTGTTTTGTTTGCACTCAGTAGCTTGATCTGGTTGATAGAAAATACAGATTTGTTGATACAAGTGTGCCAGCTGCAGGAGCTCTTGGCTGGGTTCATTGATCCGTACCCTTACATTGCAGACAGAGGCACCTGGGATGGAGCTGGGAAGGGGGAGGAAGCTGCCTCCTGCTTCGGAGAGTTGTCTCCCTGGACGTGGAAGGAAGGCAGGCAGGAGAGAAGGCAGCAGGAACAATCTTGTTCTTCCCATTTTATTTTAACCAAGAGCTTTCTTCTCGCTCTTGAGAGCTGTCAGCAGCTAATCATTAGGATTAATGAACATGTACAGAAACATTAGGTTTCCATGATTGTAATTTTCTTCTAGAGAAAAGAAGGAAGTATTCTTTCAACTCCTGCTGATAGCATCAGATGCGTGCTGATCCTTTAATTTTTTCACCCAGAATTTAATTCTGCCGAGCTCTCCTAGCTCAAGATTAACAGCTAAGCCAGCATCGCAGCTCGCTGCAGAAGACTTGGCTTCCCAGCTACCAGATGGTATTCAGAGCATTTGAACTTGCAGCATTTCTAAACAAGTTGCTTTTAATGCAGCTTATTCGGTGTTTCACTGCAGTCCCTGCTCTTCCATATTTAAACCTCAATCTGTCTTCTATCGAGGTCAGTGGGAATTTTGCTATGGACTCCACGGGAGAAAGGGCTGGGCTGTAACTTTGCGGCGCTCAGCCTGACCTTCCTTTTACTTGAAAAGCAGCATCTTACACGCTGGATTTTGCTCTGAGTTTCCTTTGTTTTGCTCTGCTTTAATAAGGTGAGATTCCTCGGGAATTTAGGCTTTAAATGCCCAGTAGTGCTACCCAGAGCCAGCGGCAACACGAGTGGAGTCCTGCGAGCCAGCTCCTCCCTGACCCCCACCAACCCCGGCCCCCCGCGACCCAGCCCCCCCCTGCCCCCCACCACCCCCGGCCGTCCCCCCGCCAGCGACGTCCCGCTTCCTTCAATTGTCTCATGGTTTTATGGCGGGAACAAATATATTCGGGGAGAACTACAATGACACTGCTAACGGTCTGCGGACCCGGACACGGGTTTAGTCACCATCCCCAGAGGGAAGGACTCGTGCTCCGACCCACCCAGACTGCCCGGCTCCTCCGGCCGCCTTCGTGTTTCCACACGTGAGAGCGTGGCGACCAGAAAGCCCCCTCCTGCCATCCCAAAGCTTCCCCCATCCATAAATGCCACGATTTTGTATTGGCATCTTCGGCGGGAGGGGGAAAGGTGGGGTGATGGCCCCTCGAGAGGTGGTGGGAGCCGCTTCGGGGCCTGGCAGCCCACCCGGGGCCATGTTTTTTTTTGTGGGGATCTCCTCTCCCGCCTGCCCTGAAGCCGGATTCCCCTCGGGGGTGAGAGCGGGGAGGGGGCTCCTCAGGCGTTTTCCTCCCCTCTGAGGCGGCAGCGGGCCCGGGCGGGGAGCGGGGCCCTCTCCTGGGACCCTGCCCCTAAAGCTCCTCGCCGGGAGGGCCGAGGAGGCGGCGGGCCTGGCTGTGAGGAGAG